GCTATTATAGGCGTGGATTTTTTAAAGCATATTCTTTCAAGGGCCATTACAGGTGTGGAGTTTTTAAAGCCTATTTTTCAAGGGCCATTATACACCTGGTTGTGTCCGGCCGAACCAAACTTTTTTTTACATGTTCATTCAAGTATCTATTTATTTATCTATTTTATACTGTACACAACACCTTGATATACTGTATATTTCACAAGAAATGGTTCGTGTCTAAACTACGGCGAATAAAATACAGTGTAATGTGGCATCAATGTTGCGACAGAATAAATAATGTCCAGTCAACATGGATGGAGTCTTGGATATGTTCTATAAGATAAAATACAGTCAAAATTAGATAAAATACAGTATAACGCCATATCAGTTATACTGACTACATCCAAAGTCGGGAGTATCGTCCAATTTCGCCGCTCCCTTGACTCCCTTGTCGTTATAAGCGATTTCGACTGTAGATGCTAAAATCCTCATTTGAGTATTATTTTAAGTTGATGTATTAATTTAAGATCCACACACTTATAGTTCGGATAAGGTTTGGAAAAATATTCTTTAAAAATCCGTGTTTATATCTCTAAGAAAACTGGAAAAAAATCTCTTAAAATCTGCTCAATTAGCTCCATTAATACGTCAAAAATATTTCTTAAAAATTCCACGAGCCTTATGGCTCGTTTAATTCCTAGAAAAATATCCTTTAAATTCCAAGTACATAGCTATAATATTCTCAAATCTTGGTTGCAGATCCCGAAGCTGTTGCCGGTAAAATCTTTCCATATCGTGTCATATTACCTTCGTGGATGCCTCAGCAGCTACAGCTCCTCTACATGGGTCTGAGCGTTATTATCTTTGCCATACAAATCATAGCTGTGGATTATTTAAACGTTACGATCATCAATCAAATTCGTTTTCAATTGAATATTTTGAATTTGGCTTTCGATGATTTGATTGTTGAGACTCAAACCAACCCAAGGGAAACTAGGCACTTGGTTCTCTATAAAGATGATCCGGTGAGGAGAATGAATGCCATTGTTGAACATCATTGTCTGCTGAGAGAGTGAGTCACGAAGACAGAAAGTGTGGAGGAGTTGATACTCCTTGTCCACAATATTCACGAAATTGTGTTTTTCGTTTGATTTCTTCCAGGTTACGTCAAGATACAGAGGATATTTTTAGCCAACCTATATTGTGGCAGTTCATGACATCCGTTATTATCTTTGCCATGACCGGTTTCCAGGCCACCGTTCGCTCGAGTGGCAGCAGTGCGGCTGTACTTATTTATGCCTATTGTGGTTGTATTTTTTGCGAACTTTTTGTCTACTGCTGGTTTGGCAATGAAGTTTCCGAACAGGTAAGTCGGGACGCTCATGTTGATGGAGGGCGGGAGTGCCAATGGTATGTTAACGATTTGTGACTTAAACATTGACTTGAGTTTAAGTTGTAGACATTGAAACAAGGTTCAATATGTTTATGTACTTGGCCAGAAAGAAAACAAAAAACCGAAAAGGATTGCTTGCTTACCTACATCAGTGCCTTCGTACGTTTGGCGATATGATGGACACGTGATACAGAGAACAGAAACAAGTTTCCCCTAGCCCAAAACCAGTTTTTGAAGGTGGAATCACATTAAAGAGAATCACCACCAGCAGCACAACGTTCGCCGCTTCGAGTCAATGAATGTTTATTTGCTAAAGTTAAGATAAGCTTTGGTTTTGTTCGTCTTCCAAGGAAGGAAGAGGAAGAAAACAAATCAGAAACACGTCTGCGAACAAGCGAAGTTGGGTTAAATACCATATTTTCCCCTCTCCAACAGTCATGATAGCCTAAGATAAAATGGCACATCGATGTCCAGAGCATGATGACCATACGCGGATTTATGGTTCGGTAACCAAGCAGTGGCTTATTTGTTGTTGACAACTGTGATATTAATTTCTTTTGTTGTAATTTGTTGTTTCTTTTTTTTCTGAAAAAAGGTGAGAAATGTGTAACGGCAGATCAAAACAAAAAATGATGGATGAATGTTTTATTGGAGTTACACACTTCCAATATAGTTTTTATCACGAATGGAACAGTGGTATTGATGGGATAAAGATTTAAGAATTGGGTTATATTGTATGGGACAGAAATGTTCTAAAAATATCAAATCTAAGAGGTTATTTAACCAGAACCATCAAAACACTTATAGTGGGCGGGAAGGATATGCAAAAACTAGAACCTATATACAATTTTTTTATAATGAAGATTTCTTTCGTACCAAGAAGCTATCTATTTCTGTTGAAAAATATGTTTGAAACCATGGACGTACTTAAAATGGGGAAGCTATGCCAAAATATTAACCAATATTCAAAATCTTAACCCCCGATAGCTCAAAATGTCAACTTATAAACATAGCACTTGGAAAACGAAGCTAAAACTATCAGAATACATATAATGGAGCAGGACCTGAATTTCATAACCCCAAGAACTCGGAACGCTAAATTTCAGACAATTCGTTTGAAAAATTATTTTATATAAAAACATTGGTCTATTATGACAATTTTTCCTGTGAGGAGATTTTTTTAACTTACTATAAAAATAAGGCTATGCCTTTCAATATAATAAAAAGAATTAAAACATTTTTTTATACCCACCACCATGAGAGGGACAAAATACATAAAATCGATGGTGACATATACATGAGGGCTGCTGCTAGGGAACGAGAACTTGCCGAAAAATATCCCTGTCGGTGGAAAAACTTTTTTGAAATCCTCAAAATATTGAAAATAGGGAAATATTAAATAGGGAGCTTTACCATAATATGAACCGATATTATTTTTGGTAGACCTAGTGAGAACAAAACCAGTGAGCGGAGCAGTACAGTCGGGTGGGGCCGACCCTATGATACCCTACACAACTTCCACGAAATTCTAACTTTGTGTGGTTCTATATTCAGAGCTTGGGCAATATTTTGCGATATTTGCACCATTTTAATCGACTAGAAGTCAACATATATTATTAATATTCAGTACAACCCTTCTTATTACTTGTCCAAATTCCCTTCACCGTGGCTTGTATTGTAATGCTCGGCTTTCAATTGTGGCCTGTGATCGACTCGAAAAAACACAAAAAATTAAGTTTTCAGTCCACTTCATCTCAATATTATTATCTGATCATCACCGAAAATTATAGGAGTTGTCCTTGACCATACATGGATCCTGATGGAAAATTTCAAAGCGACCAGCACTATATTTTCGTCATCTAGGTGGTAATGGGTTACTGAATAATATATGAATACGTAAGCACCTGTAAATATTTAAGTGTAACTCCCACATTCGAGTACATGCGACAATATAATTAGTTTCAATTCAAAGGTCAACCGCTCCTCTTGGATATGCTATCAACTTCTCGGGCCTATGTCCATCAGGGGTAAATATATACGCTATAGAATACAAATTTTGTCATTTTTTATTTGACCCGCTAAATACTAACCGATACTTAACAAAACAGATATGTTTATTCTTTGGCCCGATCCTCTTCTCCACGTAAAATTTCACGATGTTCAGGCCATAATTGCGATCTCTGGAGCGACCAGAAAAAAACGACAAAAATTATGTATTTGGTCCATTTCATCCCCTAAATATTTACTGATCTTTACCAAAAGCAATATGGGCCTTCATTGGCCAGAACCTATTTTCCTCTCCACCAAAATGATTTTGTACGCTTGTAAAAAAAATAAAATGAGCTGTCACTGGAATAATTTTAACAGCTGTCGGACGAGTGGCTTAGAAATGACAGCAGTCTGAAGTTGGTTGGAGTTTTTTTCATCTTATCCTGTATATGGCTGGTATTATGAAACCCCAGTAGTCAAATGACGAAAATTGACACTAAATTCGACTTTGTATGAGAATAATGGAGAATGAACAAAACTAGAACAGAATGTTTTACCATAGGTTGCAGTCAGTAGGAGGAATAGCGAATTGGGGTTTTATGCTGCATCTGATAAACTGCAGTGAAGTTAGGTCGAGCCGATCTTTTTGTACCTCCACCATTGGGAGGACATTCAATACATACAAAATTGATCGGACTTCTATATGGGGGCTGTGTCATGACAAAAATTAGGTATTTGATCCCTTTTATCCCCTAAATATTAACCGATCATTATCAAAAACAAGAGGGGTCTTCATTGACCAGAACCTCTACATTGACCAGAACCTTCTACATGGAAAATTTTGTAAACATTGGTCTCTAACTGTGGTATGTATCGTGTTTACAAATTATAATGGACAGACGGACGGACGGCCACACATGTCTAGATCGACTCAGCTATGCTTAAAGGTGAGTCTAGAGCCAAACTCTTGGGGCTGCACAAAGCTATAATACTCAGACAACATAGTTGTGTAGGGTATAAATATCAAAGTAGAGTATCTGGGTTTAATGTTGATAATTTTTTATACGAAGAATTTTTCTACCTTTCACCAAACCGTAGTGCAGGGTATTATGTCCGTGTGCATATGTTTGTAACAGGCAAAAAGAAACTAGATAGACACATGGTTCCTTTTAAGAATATGCATAGAATCACTTTCTAAATCGATTTATGCATGTCAGTCCGTCCGCCTGTCCATGTTCAATTATAAACAAAGTACAGGTCGAATTTATGATTAGAATTGAAATTGGGAAAAATCGGTTGAGATTTGGATATAGCTCCCATATATATTTCGGTTCTATTTAAATGGTGCACCAAAGACCCTAAATATATTTCGATTTGCACGATTGGCACAACGTACTGAATTAAGCCTAGAATGATGTGTGCTAAGTTTCGTGAAAATCTGTTTAGATTTAGATATAGCTCCCATATATATTTTCGTTCGATTTAAGGTAAATGGTGCAAGTCCTTAAAAACCGAAATTTGGCACAGCGTACTGAATTAATTTTTTAATTTTTTAATAAATTTTTTTGATTTTATTCGAAATTACACTAATTCAAGAATGTCCCTATAAAATTTCAAGTGAAAATCTCAAGAACTCTTGAAAATATAGCCGATTTATTGTGTCAGCATCAAGTGATGGCTAAAGGGCTTCTTAAACTTTAAACGCGTTTTTCTCTTTTGCGAATGGCGGGCACGATAACTCAAAAACTAATAACCCAATCGATTCCAATTTTTTACACGTTTCTCTGTGAGTGTATAGCTATCGTATGAACTAGGATAAAGCCAATCGGTGAAGATCTTCCTTATTTTTTAATTAGGTTTTTGGTGATTTGGCGATTTTCCAAAAATATTTTTTCAAAGGTCCGCCATTTTGTTAATTTTAGAGCGAAGTCAATAATCCTAGTTCATACGAGAGCCAGACATGTACTCTTTCTAACACCGTTGGAATTTTCGAATTCCGATGTTCCAGTGAGGAGTTATCATGCCCGCCATCAAAAATAAGGACTTTTCTTTAATTACAAAAAAAAAAAAAAAAACAAAATTTTTTTGTAAATTATTTTTTTTTCTTTTAAATCTTCATTTTTGTAAATTATTTTTCTTCTCTTTAAGTCTTCATTGGCCAGAACCCATTCTCCTCTCCACCAAAATGCTTTTGTACGCTTGTAAAAAATATAATGAGCTGTCAATGGAAAAATTTAACAGCTGTCGGACGAGTGAAGTTGGTTGCAGTTTTTTTTTTATCTTACCTGTGTACATGGTACAATTATAAAAGGTAACAGCAAATCCCAGCTGATTTGATTCCAACGTAATACTAGTGTCAATATGAATATGACAAATTATGTTTTTAAAAATCACCCAACAGGAAAATTGGGAACGAAATTGTTCTTTATTAAATGTGCTCCCGTATTAAATTTACTCAATCTGCCTACTGGGAAAGTTTGAGGAAGCAAATCTTTCTTCATGGAATAACTCGCAATTCCCTGCATTTTCATATGTGTTACACATATAAGTGACAATGGCTTAATTATAGGAAAGACGTGGAAGCGATAGAAATATAAATTAGATAGATTTTCATTCATGTTTTTCAAATTTTATTTTTAGGATTCGAAAATATTTCATTTTCAAAATAAAATAATTTGTTGATAATTTGTTTGTTTGTTTACATTTTTCTGTCAAAAGACGTTGACACTAATATAACTTACAACAACAAATTTCCATGTGGTTGTTGTATTGTTTGTTGTACAACAACACTTGCTGTTACCTTCTATTATTATATCATGACCTGTGTATGGCTGGTATTGTGAAACCCCAGAAGTCAAATGACGAAAATTGGCACTAATTTCGACTTTGTATGAGAATAATGGACAAAAATAGAAAAGAATGCAGTGTTGGTTTTACCATAGGGTGCAGCCGGTAGGAGGAATAGCGAATTGGGGTTTTATGCT